CTGGTATGTATTGACTTATCATTGTCATGACTTTTTCTTTTTGTTGGATTCTCCCCCTTTGGGTTTAATTTCTTGTCATGCCCAATGGATTCATTCTGCTGGGCTTCCTTGGGTTGTGATCCTTGTTTTCTTGTCCTAGGATATTGTTTAAATTTTTTGGAGTGCTGGTTTGGTATTCATGAAGTTCCTGAGGCGCTCTTTGTCATGAAAGTATCTTATTTCTCCTTCAATTTTGAAAGGTAATTCTGCAAGGTACATCAATCTGGGTTGGAGGTTGTTTTCCTTTAGGGCTTGAAATACATCACTCCACATTCTTCTTGCCTGTGGGTTTGCATTGAGAAGTATGCTGTGATTCTGATGGGCTTTCCTTTGTATGTGATTTGTTTCTTTTCTCTAACTCCTTGTCGAACTTTGTTCTTCTGTTGGGTTTCTGGAATCTTAACAATTATATGCCTATGTGTAGATTTTTTTGATGAAGGCTAGTTGTAGTCATACATGCCTCACTTATCTGTATGTCAAGTTCTTTTTCCCTGCTTGGGAAGTTTTCTGCCATCACTTCTGTAAACAGTTTTTTTTATGTCATCTGCACTCTCCTGTTTCTTCACTGACTCCGATCCGTCTCATGTTATTCTTTGCATCTTCTAGCAACTGCTGGGATCGATTTCTCATGGTCCCTTACAATTTTAAAGAAAATTTTCATTTCCTGGTCACTAATTGCATTCCTATCTTTTACATCTGACATTCTGTCCTCACATTGGCTCATTCTGCTGCATAGACTTTCAGTGGAATTTTTTGTTTTGTTTTGTTTTTTGGGGGGTTTTTTTTGGTACTGGGGATTGAACTCGGGACTTTGCACTTGCAAGGCAGGCGCCGGAACCACTGAGCTAAATCCCTGGCCCTCAGTGGAGTTTTTAGTCTCCTGGAAATCTGTTCTCATCTGTTTCATGGATTCCATTTGTTTCCTATGTTGGGATTCCATCATGTTCCTCAGCTCCTCTATTTTTTAATCTGTGTCCTCTCTACATTTATTAATCATGTCTTGCACTATGGGCACAATCTTTGCTGTTATCTGAGAAATTATTTCTGATTTCTTTTTTTCCAGATCCTCTTTTGTTGCCAGTTCAGGGAGCCCAGGTTGTTTGATACCAGAGTGTTCCATCTCGTTTCCCCTTAGGGTTGCTGTAGGTGATCTGAAAGTCTGGTTTTAAGGCTTGTTTATGTGTCTTCTCATTTCCGCGGGGTGGGGTGGGGGGTGGTGTGCTGCTGGCATCCAAGAGGCTCACCTCCTCTGCACTGGTAGTGGTGGTATGGCGGCTGGAAGCCTCCTCCTCTGAGCTGCCTATCTTCCTACTCTTAACCTCCATTGTTCCTAGAATTCATCCTTCCAGCTTGTCATATCTTACAGCTAACAGTTTGGGAGATATAATATGTCATATTTCATCTCTGGTATTATTTCCTATATCAGTAATAGTTCTTTAGACACCTACAAACCTAACTGATTAAATCATCCCTTGATCCTACCTTTTCTAGGTGAGTCAGTCTCACAGAGTTTTATTTGAAAATATGCAACAAATATTGTACAGAGGTTAATTTTTCACTAGTTTGGTCAAGAAGGGCTAAAACAGGTAGCCCTTTTTTAATTTGCTTTAATATTTTTTTCTTCTAGGATGCCATCAATCTTTTATAAGTGCCTAACTTTCTCTCTGTATCTCTTTTTTTTTCCTTTCAGTGACTGCTTCTTATTTCCTGCTTATTCTTCACTGCTATTTTTCCATACTGTTGCCAAACAATCAATAACATTCAAAGAGGAGGGGAAAAAAGGACATGAACATAAGAAATAAAGAAAAAATAAAAGAAAGCAAAGACATCCTAGAACCCAAGAAAAGTAAGAAATAATTATAGAAAAGTAAGGATTAATAAATATCAGCATCCATGAATTTAAAATTATACGCCCCCCCCAAAAAAATCCTAAGAAATGCTGCTATGGTGTGTGTTATAAAAATCTGGAGTAAAGTGAAGGAAAAAGACCCAGACAAAAATATCATACCACTAAAGCAGCTGTTAGAGGGAAATTCAGAGATGAAAATGCCCATAACCAAGAACTTTTTCAAGTCAATAACCTAGCTTTCCACCTTAAGAAGCTAGAAAGAGAAGAGCAAATTAACCCAAAACAAGAAAGAAGGAAATAATAAAGAACAGAGCAGAAGTCAATGAAACCAAAAATTGGTTCTTTGGAAAGATCAGCGAAGTTGGCAAACATTTAGTTAAGTGGACTAAAAAAAAAATAAATAAAGAAGACTCAAATTACTAAATTCTGGAATGAAAGAGGACAACCTCCTTAACAGAAATTAACAGATTTATAAGGAAAGGTATGTGAACTTCTCATGCTATTGTCCTTTTCTGAGTATTGTTTTGTTATTTGGTTCCCTTGAATGGGACACAGTTCATGATTTTTTGTTTGTTTCTTGGTACCTGGGATGGTACTCAGGACCTTACATTTGCGAGGCAGGTGTGGTGCCCCTGAGCTAAATCCCTGGCCCAGTTCATGATTCTAATGAGTGGAAAGTGAAAGTTAAGTGCTGTTGTGGGGAAGGACACTAAATTATTCCTAACCTGGATGCTCCTTGGAATTACTATCTTCCCTGAAATTCCTTTTACTGGCAAAGTCAAAAGGCTTAAAGAGGAGAGCTGAGACCCATTCTTCACCTCCTAAGGGTGCTTTCTGCCTCCTCCTACCTCACTTTGCATTTTTATAGGACATCACCACTGAATCTGGTAAGAATTAGATCATAAATGTTTTTAGTGCTCCTCTAATTTTGGTTCTACAGATACATATACTTTAAATATTAATGATTGGTAAGTTAACAGCGTTTTGCAATCATCACTGCAATCCACTTTTAGAATGTTTCCATCATCCCAGTGACCACTTCCTGTGTTTACTGTTGTTTATATGATTGTGTGTATTACTGTTCTTTTCATCATTTTTCTCTGCTAGCTCCTTCACTTGCACATTGAAAAGCTAGAGAGTGAATATTACAAAGCTCCTTCCCTGTAAGTTGGACACTATACCAGACATTTTATATTTGTTATTTAATTTTTTATAACTGATCCTTTCTCATTTTAGAGCACAGAAATAACAAAATATCAATGACCTCAAGCACAAGAGTATGTATTTATTTGAGAGATCTTTTGATTGATTTCTTCTCCGATTTACTGCCTTCTATCTCACTTCTCTTCCTCTTTCCTGGATGACTACACTTCCTCCACTCCTCCGCTTCTCTGCCACACACAAACCAAGCCTTTCCCTTTGCTTTTGCTGAGGTTACCACTGACATCCCAATTAACTAACCCAACAGCCACTTGACACTATATAGCCAGTGGTAACATATGTGGATGGTTCACATTGTTCACTCTGTGCAAAGGGACATGGGTGATGATTTTTGTGTTTTTTCTTAAATTGGCAATAATTATATCTATTTACGGGGTGTGCTATGTTTTGACATTTGTATACATTGTGGAATGATTATATCAAGTGAATTAACATTTCCATCACCTTACATACTTATCACTTTTTATAGTTAGAAATACTTTAAATCTGCTCTTTTAGAAATTTTGAAATACACAATAAATTATTATTAACTATGGTCACCGTGTTGGGCAGTAGATCTTGCAAACCTAGTCCTGCTTTCTAACTGAAACTTATACCCATTGGCCAACATCTCCTGGGTAATAATTTTTGACTTGCAAATTTCCTATTCCATTTTAATGAAAGGGAAAGAAAAGCATCACTTTGCTCTTGAAAACCAGTGTTAGTGCATAAAAAGAAAAGAGTATCTTTTGTGTCTATATTTCAGTTTTATTAGTTTGGTTGAATATATATGGTAAGAGAAATTTGTTTTGTACACAAATAAAACTAGTAACTTACAGAATATAAAAATAAGTAAAGAATTGACCTGTAGTGATTGTATGCAGATTGGTGTTGGTGTGCAGTTAAATCTTTTTTTTTTTTTTTGGTACCAGGGATCGAACTCAGTCCTTGCACTTGTGCAGCAGGTGGCGAAACCACTGAGCTAAATCCCTGGCCCGTGCAGTTAAATCTTGATGTCACTTGGTCTTACCCTTCTACATATAGAAAATGCATAGAAATCTAGTTTATGATATGTGATCAAAATGTATGGTGAATATTTAAACTTAAAACATTTATTCAGCAAAAGACACATTGCCATGAATCCCTCTCAAAATATTCCTCCTTGCTTTGACCACATTTATCCCATTATTCTTGCTACTTTCTGTTGCAGTTCTGGAAGTTCTTTTTTGTGAGTGTCTTTCTGAGTTGTGATAAAAAAAAAATATGGTGCATGCCACCTCCCAGTGCCATCCAACAGAAAGACAGGCCCGTAAAAACATCCACCTTATTCACTGGATCTGGCATGCTGAAGCTTCTGGATCTTCCCCAAAGGCAAAATGACCATAAAAGCTGGGCATGGTGGCGTGTGCCTGTAATCCCAGCACTCACTTGGGAGGCTGAGGCAGGAAGATTGCTGTGAGTTTGAGGCCAGCCTAGGCTACATAGTAAATTTAAGGTCAGACTGAACTACATAGTGAAAACCTGTCTCAAAAAAAAATGACTATAAAAGGTAAACATTTTGAATCAATTCAGAACATTAAAGATAGTCACAACAGTGCAACTAAAGACATTCAAGAAAGAGGTCTCCCAGAAGTACTTCAGGAAGTGGCAAGAACTTTGAATAAGTGTGTTCCAAGTGAGGGGTGTGCGTTTAGTAGGATTCATGGCAATACGTCTTTTACCGTAATAAATTTTTAAGAACATAAACATCACCCTGCTTGTGCATCACACTGCATATAAATACTTGTATGTAATGTAGTGTACTCCATGTGGGACAGTTCACACAGAAGGTGCAGCCACAGATTCAGCCTCTTCCCCACGTTCCCCCACAGCATAAGTAACCGTCCTTCAAATTGTCACATTCCCATTTCAGTGATTGAGGGAGGACCGCTGGAACACAACTACCGACTGAAGCAGTTCCATTTTCACTGGGGGGCCATTGATGCCTGGGGTTCCGAGCACACTGTGGACAGCAAATGCTACCCAGCAGAGGTATGTGGAGCAGCTCAGAAACAGCGACCACTGTGGTGAAGTGGGGTAGTTCTGAGGTTTCTAGTTCTAAGAAATTATCAGGAAGAATCAAGTGATGCCTGTTCATGCCAAATAGCTTGCTCAGGGACCAATTTGATTACCCCCCAGTTTAGACTTGTAAAAATTGTAGACATCTAGGGGCCCGGGATGTAGCTCAGTGGCACTGCATCTGCCTCGCAAGTGCAAGGTCCTGAGTTCGATCCCTGATACAGGAAAAAAAAATTATAAACATCTTAAATAATATGGCTGAAATATACTTTACAATCCTGAAACTGGATTCCTCCACAATTCTAACCTAGGCTTAAATTATTGCCTAAACTAATAATCCGGGCAACAGTGCAAGCGTCCATGAAGGCTGTGGCAAGAGAAATAGAGAGAAAGCAAGATTTATCAAATATTTCTAAAATCAGAGCACCAGAACCTAGAGGTGGGATCCTCTTCAGGGGAGGAGGAGGCAAAGATAACCAGGACCTTAAGGAGTCTCACTCTGGTGGCTGGTGAGAGCGCAGTCATTCATGAATGATGGATGGGAAATGATTTATAAGGAAATAGAAGGAGAGCATAAGAAAATACAATTTCTCCTTATGCCTTTCCTCCTAATTTAGTTTTAAATGTTATGTTAAAAACGACACATTTTAAGTGGTCATCCTTTCAAGAAGAAATTTGTCTTCAACTTCTAATTTCTATAGGAGAAATCTATTTCTCTCAATATATTTAACATCTTCTCTGCTTTAGATGCAAATCGATTTTGAATATTAGTATTTCATGCAAATCGGGATGGGAATGAACAAATGTTCATCTCTCACTGAAATGTTCCTTTGGTATATGAATTTTATTTTTCTCCCCTAATAAATCCCTCTCTTCCAAAGTAACACTAATTGTTGCTCTTGCCTAAATTTCCTCCTGTTCTTTATTTCCATCTCATTTGACACTTAATTGCCATATGCTTTTCAAAGTGGCTTTATTTTGGATGAGGAAACATGATTAAATATTGCACATTGGATGAAGCTGTCAGGTTTCTCTGCAGCTACCCTGTATGGTCATGTATTAAACCCACTTTTAATGGTGTTTCAGCTGCACTTGGTGCATTGGAATGCAGTCAAATTTGAAAGCTTTGAGGATGCAGCACTGGAAGAAAATGGTTTGGCTGTGATAGGAGTATTTTTAAAGGTAAAAAAAAACTCATGAACTTTAAACCATGTGTTGTATTAGATCAGGAGAATACTGAACATTCTAATATTGTTATTTACTAAAAACCATTGGGATCAATACAGTAATAAAAGTAAAGTTATTAAGAATATATTTCAAACGGTGTAAAAGTACACAGTCCAATCGAGTAATCACAAGCCATCTGTGGCAATTGAGCATTTGAAATGTGGTTAGTGCGAGTGCAGAATAATTTTTAATTCTAATGAATTTAAATTTCAATATAAGAAGAGGCACGAGGTACCTTTCCCTTCAGGCACACTGGCCTTGTCAGCATACAGCCTGCTCATTTGTTTGTGTCTAATTTAATTCGGTGATGTTTATATCATTCTCAATTACCAGTTTAAGTCTAGTTTCAGTTGTGTGGTTTGTTTATATGTAATCACCAGGTGGTTCATTTTAATTCACATTCTGTTACCATTTCTACAGTGAGATGTCCATTGTTTGTAATATTTTCTCTTTGATCTTTCTTTAGCTAGGCCAACATCATAAAGAGCTACAGAAATTGGTGGATACTTTGCCATCCATTAAGCATAAGGTAATTTTTCCCCTAAATCACCTGAAATACATTTTATGTTTCAGTCTGAGTGGAGACAGTGAATCAGGAGTGCAATTAAGTGAACTGTATGCAGATTCTCTTCCAACACTGCCATCAGTGACGTGCCCCTTAGGATACTCGCGTTAGCTATCCCCTTCTTTGTTCCTGACACGAGCTGCTTCTCAGTCCTTGTCCAGACCAGCCTTTTTTCCTCTAGCTTCCTCCCACAGGTAGGGAGCAAATAAACTTCTACAGAAATTTGACTTGTCTGGCTGCAAAAAAAAAAATTGCCCATATCCTTTGTCCAATCCCTAGGATTAATTCTTCAATATTCAGAATCCCAATGCGGTTACTCACTGGAAGTCTGTTATTCATCCCTCCCTCTCACTCTCTCTTCATCTCATTCTTTTTCCCTTGTCTTCTTAGTCCAAGATTCTGGCTCCTCCTGGTTTGTACTGCATTTTACAAGGACAACTGTGAGTTAGTCTCTCACTAGAATTGAGGGAGAAAAAGGTTTTGTATCTTAAATATACAACTGATCACAGAAACAAAACCTGGGCAGGATTCTGACCTAGGCAATAACGATTCTCTGGGAAGCTGCCCAGGGTCCTTGCAGCTTGCCTGCTAGTCCCTGGACAGCCCCTGAAAATCACTGCCTCGTCACCTGATTCCTGAGTAGCTTTCACTACTGAATAATAACTCCGCAACTCTTCTCTTGACCAGGACACCCTTGTGGAATTTGGGTCCTTTGACCCTGCCTGCCTGATGCCCGTCTGCCCTGATTACTGGACCTACTCAGGGTCTCTGACTACCCCACCTCTCTCAGAATCTGTCACCTGGATCATTAAGAAGCAGCCAGTAGAAGTTGATCACAATCAGGTACATTCTTTCCCCATTTGCCATCTAAGGAATCCTGCTGCCCATTTAAGATAAGGCTGGGTTCAAACTTTGACATTGATTTTAACTTTTGTCTTAATTTGGATATGAATTAGGAAATGCTTCCAATTAACGAGAGAGAAGCGTTAAAACAAGGAAGAACTAAGCTATTTGCATCTACATTTAATAATTACATGTTTTATATATCACGTCATATATGTAAATATGAATCTGTATATAAAATCAAGATCCACTTAACAGGAAGAATGAAGGCTAGAAATGGATACGTTCAAAACCATTTAAAAATCTGAAGGGAGTTTTGCAATAAAAATCTCAAGATAAAAAGATCCCAACAATGACTTTCCAGAAAACTTAATGCAAGTTAGTTGTTTTAAACTTGGGATTTATTTTTCCCTTTGAAATTAAGTTTGAGTGGTAGTTACCATATCAATACACAAAATTCTGTTTAGTTATAACTAAAGTATAATAATATTTGATTATAGTTGCTATATAGAAAAAGAAAAAAGAAACAAAAAAACTCAAAAAATATACTTGCTATATGGAATCATTTATTGATTACAAAGCATTTTCACAAAAACAAGACTTTCCAAACTCTTTCTAGGAAGCCAAGATAACAGATACCAACACTCATCAAAGATTTGTCCCTCACCCTGCTGTAAAAAGTAAACTCAAGGCTGGTATCTCTGAAAAATATAAAAACCAAAAGAAGAAGCAACTAAAATAAAATATTTGAAACAGAATCCAACAGTATATAAGAAGACATATATACTTTTCCCAAGTAGTATACATTCTAGTAATGTTATTAATATTCATTTTATCAGTGACTCTAAAAACATATTGTCATTGCCACAGATGTTTTTTCTCTTGATACTGGGGGTCAACCCCAAGGAAATGCTACCATGGCGCTATATCCTCAGCCCTTTTTATTTATTTTTTAAATTTTTTAATTTTTTTAAGTTTTTTTTTTTTTTTGGTACTGGGGATCGAACTCGGGTCCTTGCGCTTGCAAGGCAGGCAGCGGAACCACTGAGCTAAATTCCCGGCCCGCCCTTTTTATTTTTTGAGACAGGGTCCAGCTAAGTTCCCCTGGCTGGCTTTGAACTTGTGATCTTGCTACCTCAGGCTCCTAAGTGACTCAGATTACAGGTGTGAGTCCCTGTGCCTGATATTTCCATAGATTCTGAAAGACATTTGCAAAATTCTCTATTCAGTTTTTTTTTTTTTGTACCAGAGATCAAACTCGGGACCTTGTGCTTGCGAGGCAGGCACTGGAACCACTGAGCTAAATCCCCAGCCCCTCTATTCAGTTTTTAAAAACTTAGTAAGTTAGGGATGAATAGAGACTATATAATAAAAGAGATTGATCTCAGTTCAAAAGTAAATATAGTCATCTTTTGGTATCTAGAGGACTGGTTTTAGGACCTCTCGTGGATACCAAAAGTTATAGATGCTCAAGTACCTCATATGAAATGGTTTAATATTTGCATATAACATATTTATATCCTCCTGCACACTTTAAATCTTCTCTAGATTTCTTATAATAGCTAATACAATGTAAATCCTATGTAACTAGTTGTTATAATGTATTGGTTAGGGAATAAGGAGAAGAAAAAATATATTCAGTACAGATACACTTTTTTTCCCAATATTTTTGAGCCACAGTTGGAAAAATCCACAGATGTGAAACTCATGATACAATGGCCCAAATAAATATGCTTAATATAGAAAGAACTGTTACCATATTAAATTATACTTTGGAATTAGGTGGGTGTGGTGGTGTGCACCTGTAGTTCCAGCTGCTCAGAAGGCTGAGGCAGGAGAATCACTTGAGCCCAGGAGTTTAGGGCCAGCCTGAGCAACATAGGGAGATCCCATCTCTTAAAAAAAAATGATGTTCTGGAAATAGCCAATACAAATAGACCAGAAAATAAAAAATAAATGCAGGAAACAATAAGAAAAACTAGTAGAAAATAAGATATTTTGGTAACTACTGGAGTACAATGTTCATTTATAGAAATAAATACATTTGATATATTTATATCACAATTGCTATAGTGGAGCAATAATATAATGGAAGAAAGAATCCTGTTCATAATAAAACAAAAATACAAAATACTTTGGAATAAGGTTAACAAGGAAAATTAACAAGAAAATTTAAAATGTTCCCGAAGGTTACAAAAGAAGACTTAAATTAATAAAACTCATCCCATATTATTGGATAGGAAGACACCATAAGGACACATTTGATGTCAGTTCTCCTTAAGCTATTACTCTGCAAGAATTGTTTATTGTCTATAGAGTTAATGTAGTTCCAATTAATACATTAATAGAATTCTAAATAGATCTGTTACTTCTAAACCCGCCTAACAACAAATAAGCATGAATAGCCAGGGACAATGCTAAAAGAGAAAATGAAGAATGGTAAGATTGCCAAGATTCCTCAGTAATTAAATACCATGATACAGCCGCCTGAAGAAAAAGATGGAAGGAAGCACAGTAGCAATCTTCTTGTTCTGTTCTGTGGAGTTGGGGTGCCCACCCCAGCGGGAAAGGCATTCTGCTTTACTCAGGGTGCCTGCTGAAATCCCAGTCTCCTTAGGAAACACTCTCACAGACACACCCACACATCATGTTTAACCAGCTATCTGGGCATCCCTGGGCCAGCCAAGGTGACACAAAATTAGCCACCACAGGGCTAGGGACGTACCTCAGTGGTAGAGCACTTCCCTAGCATTTGTGAGGCTCTGGGTTCGATCCTCACTACCATAAATAAACAAATAAGCCCTCACAGGAAGAAAATAGTAAGTTCAAAAATATGTTCATATGAGAATTTATTTTATGACAATAGGTAGGATCTCAGCTCAGTGAGGACATTCAGTAAGTGCTGTTGAGGAACAGCTGAACAGATCTAGGGAAAAATGTTGGATCCAACATTCAAACTTTACACAAGAATATATTCTAGACATATTAAATGTAAAAAATACTGTCATACAAATCTAGGATAATCTTAGGAAAATTCACTCATACCTTCAAATGGAAGACATTCTTCTAACTATAAAACAAAACCAGAAATCTAAAACAAAACTAATAAATTAGACTATGTATGTTTTTAATGCTGTGATGAAAACCACCCTAAATGAATGGCAAAAATACAGAGCTTGAATGCCCATAATCCTAGGCTTTGTGGCCTGTACATTTAGCCTGCTGCTATTCTTCATATTTAAAAATCAATAGCAGCCTGAGGCCCACCATTCCATTGGTAAGTGTGTGCAGATCCTGGGGAGCAGCTGTGTGGACTAGAGCGGCGCGACTGCAGGTGGATCACGGCCAGGGCTCCGCTCCGACCCCAGAGGCTCCTGCACACATGCCCAAGCCAAAGGCCTGACCAGAAAAGAGCTGCACAGGCACACAAGCTTCAGCCAGAGGCCCGCCATCCCATCAGCCACAGCCAAGGACCCACCTGGAAAAGAGCTACACAGGCGCACAAGCAACAGCCAGAGGCTTGGCCTGATACTGTTTCGGAATCGCGGAAAGAAATGTACGGAGACACAGAATTTGGGTAAAAAAACAAAGCCTTTAATTGCTAGCGAGGGGGACCGCCAGAAACTCGTCTGATCAATGTCCACCCCGTCCTTTGCTTTAACATTTCCTTTTATATCTTCTTTTAGCCATTACCTCATTTCTGGTGGTCTTAGTAAAATTTCTGTTTCTCTTTTACAACTAGTTCCTGTTAACGGTTACAGTCACAGACATATAACAAATAGATGGCGCCTAAAACACATACATTGTAAACCACCCAAACATTTGTACTTTGCTTTTCTCCAGGTTAAATGTTATCTACAGTTAGGTTACAGGTCAAAGGTTCAGTTAGCCATCACTTTAAACAACAAGAGTTACGGGAAAGGTAAATCTTAAAGGAACGGATTACTTATTCTACTTCAGCTACCTTAATAACTAACCCATAGTTTAAATTTTCTCTATCAATACCATTGATAAGTGCATGGAGACCCTAGCCAGAAGCTTGCACAGACAATAGGAACTGGGGTGCACAGCCCCCAGCAAAAGGCCCTCCCAGACAACAGCTACATAGGGGCCCAGCGAGAGGCACGCCTAGATACCATCCCAAGTGTGCACAGGCCCCAGCCAGAAGCCCGCCCAGACAACAGGTCAGCTCAGGGATCCAGAAAGCCACCACTCTGAACCCAGGAATTGGTGTACTGGTGAGCAGCATTGTAAAGGCTGCTCAGTGGCTTGCTGGGAATTGAAGACCACTGGGTGAGGAAAAAGTCACCTCAACAAAGGCACAGCAGGCTGCATCTGTTGAAATGAGAAGACACCTAAATAGTCTCAAAACCAGACTTCCAAATCACCTAAGGCAACCCCAAAGGGCAACAAGATGGAACAATCTGATACTCAACCACCTGGACTCCCTGAATTGGCAATGAAAGAGGATATGGAAAAAATGAAATCAGAAATAATTTCCCAGATAAGAGCAGAGATTGTGCCCATAGTGCAAGACGTGATTAATAAATCTAGAGAGGACACAGATTAAAAAATAGAGGAACTGAGGAACATGATGAAATCCCAACATAGGAAACAAATGGAATCCATAAAAGAGATACAAACAGATTTCCAGGAGATTAAAAACTCCATTGAAAGTTTATACAGCAGAATGAGCCAATGTGAGAATAGAATTTCAGATATAGAAGATAGGATGGCAATTAGTGACCAGGAAAAGAAAACTTTTTTCTTTTTTTTAAAATGTATAACTTTATTATCATTCACTAAACACACACATGCAAAAATTAAAATTATTCAAAGAAAAGCAATGCAAGGGAAAAAAACTATAATAATATAAAAAAAATAATAGAACTCAACCAAAGCAAAACTGAAAAGTACTTAAACATTTTTCCATATAATTTTTTAAAAATCTCAAGCATTAACAAGACATCAGAAGATGATTTGTTTTAGAAAGATTTTTA